CCTCAGAATGGCAGGAAATTGCATCTCAGCATCAACGAATTTTTCCGGGGGGCAGCGCGGACCCCTAGCAAATCCGGGTCAGCTACTGACGCCTCGACTAACTAATTTGATGGCAGAACTACAGATTGCCTTAATATGGTGTTGCATCCTGTCGTGGTTTCGTATTCTGGGGGCCCCGTAATCTCACTGTCTTCGTGATATATTATAGCATATTGTGATAATTGTGTGAGCAACTCATATACGTGTATGAATTAGTCGTATGCATGAAATCTCGTGATTTTTTCATGCGGCTCTCGCTCAAAAGTTGTGGCATTTTTAGACTTAACTATCGGTGAAATTTTTATAATGGGTGTCGTGGGTCTTTTGTAGTATAAATTCTCAATGGTCCAAGAGTATTTGCATCTATGTAATAGTTCTCAGGGTGAAAAGAATGGCATGGATTGTTAGTTCTTGCTTGACGTTGTTTGGGGCGCGTGATCCCGTCAGGTTAATTTAAACTACACGTCTCCCAGTTTTTATTCACAACATTTTGAATGTCCTAAGTGGCTCAATACAATGTGATACAACTGTATTCCCGAAATAAGCCGTCTGCCCACATTATGACGCTGTCACTTTCATGCTGTTATCAGGAATAAATTAATATAGATTATTAATTCAACTGATTCTGCCGTATTATTTTTATGAGTTCTAGGTGTCTGCCTATGCTATCACTCATACATCTCATTCTGAGTCACTACAATGGCACGATCGGCTGATTTATGCGTGCCGTTTTCAAATTTAATTTTCTCGTTATAGCAATTGACTTCGTTCAATCCGTCTCGCATTAGCTGCTGTCATGAGCAGTGGGCGATGCAGGGGTGGGCGGTTGCGCAGTCCTACGACTGCACACGGTGGCGGAGGTGTCAGTGGAATCGTGTTGGCCGGTGTGGATGGAGGAGTGTGGCCAGCTCTGTGGGCATGGCGGAGAATTCGTACACGAGTGCGTGGTGAAGTGAGGTGCGGGGGAGAGTGGTGGGACGGTGTGGTGTGGTGTCGTGTGTGTGGTGAGTGAGGTGCGGGGGGAGAGTGGGGGACGGTGGTGCGTGTGTGTGGTGAGTGAGGTGCGGGGGGAGAGTGGGGGACGGTGGTGCGTGTGTGTGGTGAGTGAGGTGCGGGGGGAGTGGGGGAGGTGGTGAGTGGTGTGTTGGGTGAGTGGGAGGTGGCCGGGGGGAGACGTGGCGGGACGGTTGGTGCGTGTGTGTGGGTGAGTGCGTTCAGGGGGGAGAGTGGGGGGACGGCTGTGCGTGTGTTGTGTGAGTGAGGCACAGGTCGAGGGGAGAGCTGGAGGAGCGGTAGGTGGCGTGCTCTGTGAGTGGTGATGAGGCTGCGGGGCGCATGCAGCTGGGGGACGGTGGTCGAGTGTGTGTGGTGCAGTGAGGTGCGGGAGCGTGCGGCGGCCACGGTCGGTAGATGATGGAGCGTGGGTCGGACCGGCGAGATGGGGGACGGAGGGCATGGGGGAGAGTGGTGGGTGTGTGTGCGTGGTGCGTGCCTCCGCCACGGTGCGTCCGGAGGTGTGTGTGGGTGGGGGGGCCGGCGGGGGGCGTGCCGTGGGCCGGTAGTGCTGTTCTGCCGATTTGCACAGAGGTGTGTGTCGACGGCGAATGTGCTGTGTAATGGTCATGCCAAGTAATTTATTAATGTTTATCGTCTCATTCTTGTGTTTAGACTTTTTTAGTTGCCTATGTAGTAATTACATATATTTATCTATATGTGTTTGGCCATATCATCGACGAAGAGGAGTTACCCCGGTCCTCCCTCGCGTCCAGGTTAAACCTCATCGACGCTTCTTGACTATAGGATCACATAGGGCGTCCCATGACCCGGCGGCGCGGCCCGGCAGCACCTGAGCCGAGTCCCAGGTCCGCGCCCGCGCAGGACGGGCCCAATCTCTCACGCGCACAGCGTGGACCCCCTCCTCACCCGCCCTCACGCCAGGTCCGCTGTACTCCCGCTCTGCAGCCCGGGGTGGGTGGATGCATGTGCCAGCGTCTCCACCTCGCTCATCTCTACCTATCCACTACCCCTACCCCTACCCCCTCCTCTACTCACTCTTCACCCCTCCCCCTCCCCCTATCTACTCCCTACTAACTTCTAATATCTCACTATCTCATCTCTTCACTCCCTCCAGATATCGTATATCCTCCTCACTACCCCCCTCCTCCTTCCTAACCTCAACACTCCCCCCTCCCCACTCCACCTCCCTTCTCCCCTTCCTGGCAGCGCCCCACCCCTCCCGCGCCCCCACTCCCGCCACGCCGCCGGCCGCCCCCCGCGCTCCCCTTCCTCCCCCACCAGCGCCCCCTCCCCCCCCCGGGCTGCTCCCCCACCCCGGCACCCCCCGCCCCACCGACGCCTCCCACCCCCCCCAGAGATTGACAGGGGGGGAAGGATTGAACACTTAACTGAAAGGAGGATCAGGTACAGGGGAGACGGGGAGACAATGGGAAGGAAGAGGGGGAGAAGAAGAGGCGGAGACACAGGAAGCGCGCAGGAGAGAACGGGGGAGGAGGAGGCGGCTGAAGATAACATGGGAGGCTGAGAGAGGATCACTGTGCAGAGAGACAGCGTGGCAGTGCCCAATGGAGACTGCTTCCGGTGTCAAGAATCGCTGATACGAGCCCCGGTCAACGAGGTAGCTTCCGCCTCCGTCAACTACCTCCTCGCGGGCTATCCGACCACGCTCCAGCGGAGTTCTCCGCCTCAGGATATGCTATGGGCCGTCGTCCACCGTCCTCCATCGGCCAACCGCTCTAGCTCCACGGCCGCGTCGGCTTGCAACCCCGGCCTTCACCAAGCGGGGCGGCAGCAGAACCCGCCTCGCCGCCGCGCCGAGGCGGCGTGAACTGGCTTATCGTTGCAATTCTGCCATCTCGGGGGCGGAGGGCGAGGGCCGCGCCGGGCGCCTGCTCGAGGCGCCGCGCCGAAGGCGAGTCTACTTGGATGGGTGCCAGAGAGACACTGTCGACCGTTCGTGGCTCACAGCTCTCGCTCGTCAGCGACTTTGTCGACTCCTGCTGGTCGACCTCTCACCCCTGGCTCTACGCTATCCCCCCTCGGGCTCCCATCGTGCATCGCACAGTAAAGCATTCCCCCGGTACGGTCGTCTGCTGGCGCGGGCTCCCCCTACCGCTGCGACCTCGTCCTTCACCCGCGACGCTAACGCGGAGGCAGGAAGGGGTGCTCCTCGTTCCATGCTGCTGCTGTCACCCACCGTCTCAGCGCTGCGAGAATCGGAGTGGCGTGGGTCGCTGCCAGGTTCGCGCTGACGTGGGCATCGTGCAAGCGGAGAGGAGAGGCAAGCACACCACGAGGGCCAGACCCGTAGCCCGACGCCTCAGCGCGGAGAGGGGACTAGAGGGCGGGCAGATGCGGTGAGCAGCAGGAACGTCCGCCGCCCGACAGAGCTCGGGAGGCCGGTTGATCGCAGACGAGCGGGAAAATGAAATACAAAACAAACAAAACACAAAAAAGAGACAGGAGGGAGCTGGGAAGCAGTCGGGAGCGTGGTCCAGCCCAACCACCCGCTGAGCGAGGAGGACGCAACCGCGCGCGCCGACTAGCGCAAGGCGTGAGCTGGAGACGAATGGCCCCCATCCCAGCGGGAGGCACTGGTGGATTGTTGGCCGCGACCCCATGAGGTGAGACGAGCGTCACGGTCGGCAGCGCACTGTCGCGCTGAGCCGGTACGTATGAGCGCTGAGCACGGCTGGATGGTCCGCAGCGTGAGCAGAGGCAATCTCACCGCCGCCCACAAACTCCCGACACCCGAGAGAAGATGTAGAACTTGGGTCGGCGTGGTGCGTGCGTGCGTGCGTGTGGTGGTGAGTGTATGAGGACGACTGATGGTCCGGCGTGAAGAGAGATTCCATCCAGCGAGAGAAGTGTGATTGCGCGTGTGCGTGCGTGGGTGGGGTGTGTGGGTGAGGTGTATGAGGACCGACTGAATGTCCGAGCGATGAAGAGATAATCTCGCCATCCAGCGAGAATGGAAGTGTCGCAGTTGTACGCCGTGTGTGGGTGGGTGTGTGAGTGCTAGGGTAGGTGGGTGGGTGGATTGGTTGGTTTGCATAGGTGAGTGAGTGGGTGAGTGCGTAGGTGTTGTGTGTGTGTGTGTGCGTGCGTGCGTGTGTGTGTGCATGGGTACATGCGTGAATGTGCCTGGGTGCGCGAGTGCGTGTGTATGGATGTGCAAGTGCGTGTGCGTGAGTGTGTGCGTGCATGTCTGTAGCTTGTTGATTGTAGACGCTGGATTGTAATTCTCTTATTATACCGATATTCGACTTTTCATTCAATGCGACCACGTTTCAAATGAATTCATTGTTCACGCGTATTAACTATGTATTTTTCATTGTATATATGTTTTGTTATATTAGCATGAGAGTATGTTATTAATGATGCATTGTTTGCAATGCTGTTATTTCATTGTTTGCTGCTACGTGCTAGTTTATTTTTACTATAGGATTGACCTAGGACAGCCTGAACTAATAGCTGAACTATTAGTAGAATCGAGCAAATCAGAACACTTGGTAGAGAGAATTGAGTGGTCTTTGTTTGTAAAATGTTTCCTCAAAAAGATGACCGTCGTTGTTTATGTATTACCTCATAACAAATTCATTCGTCACGCAATGAACTGTAAGCAAGATTCCTAGCATTGATTAAATTGACAGACCAACACTGTATATTTCAGTAAAACAAGGTTTCATAAGGACTATAAGAGATCTGCATCTAAGAATTGTCTAGCAGCTGCACAGAGAAACAATAGTGATTTTTTTATACTGTACAGTCTCAGAGTCTGGTCGTAAGTTGATGTCCAAGATGAAGATTTGAAAATATGCTTTTAGATGCATTCAGAAAGGCTCACCTTCAATCTATTTGTGAGAAATGTAATAAATGTATAATCACCCTTTTGATATTACATCAGACAGTTTTTGGATTATTTTTTTATTCTCTTTCAACTATGCAATGCATTGCCATGTTTGGCAGTCGCTGTAAGCATATTAGATGCAAGTATTTTGTAAGGCTGCAAAGTTCAAAATTGTGGTGATATCGTTGCGCCATCTAATGAGAAAAATCATAATCGCGCATCAAAATTATTACTGCGTGTCACTGTGACATATGTGCATGGTGTCGCGTATGTAACAGTGAAATGTGTCAATCAATATGATAAAATCCAATAAGTCTCGTATGTTGCGCGAGGGTAAAGTTAGTTCGTAACCAATAACATTTGGCTTGACCACAAAGGAATAGTGTAGTGTGTAGAGATTATGTATGATAATTTCTGAAAATGTCGTAAGCCTGTTAAAGCCTTAAAACTGCCAAATTCAATGTTACCTGAACTCAAAAATATTAGGGAACCAGAGATCAATACCGGCCTCTCTAAAAACACCCAACGTAAGTGTGCATCTTCTAAAAATCTAATGATCCCTTAGCTTCTTTGTTTCTGTCATTCCGTATTGGAATTCTCTCAGACTCTCCCTTCTTCTTTAGTAAATTGCAAATTTGAGGCGTTATCTACTGCTATCAGCAGTGTTGATCTTTTTATTTGATCAGCTTGCCTCTTTCCGTATTCGTCAATGGACTTTGAACACTATTAGTAATATAGTATTATTTACGAGGTTACAACTACGAGGTGCAAAGAATTGAAAGATAAGAGTCTAAAGAGAGATAAGATCGAGAGTTTATTTTACGCTGTGGCTATATGCCCGGCAGCCGGGCACGGTCTTCGTTTTCCTAAATGCCCGGCAGTTCCTAACCCTAACTCTAACCCTAACCCTAACCCTACCTCTAACCCTAACCCTAACCCTAAACCTAATCCTAACTCTAACCCTAACCCTTGTTTACTTGAGA